TAACTGACTGTACGGTCCAGACGCAGCAGATAGAGATTAGGCTGAAAAACACTGCAGTTTACCTTTAAACCATGAAATACATACAGTACCCTTAATATATAGAACCCATAATGCTCAATAAGCCTCCCTAAACAAAAACCATATATGTGTCACTTATATACATGACTCTGTCTACAATGTACCGTACTAATCTCTTAGATAAAACAATGTTTACAGCTGTAAAAGAGAGCCAACCTGCAAAAAGCTATCAGGTGCATATGTTTTTTCATTGGGATCTAATTCAGACACATGTAAAATGCCATTGGTGCCAATTGGTCATTAAAAAGTCACTTTGGTCTGATTTGGAAGACAAATAACACAGTTTATGCATTTCTCTCTCAACTGATCTGAGCTGTGCAAAATTAACTAAAAAATCAGGTGTAAAGTACCGAAGGCAGGTGACTTGACATCATCTCACTTTTTTTCACCAAAAAGGCCTAAAAATATGAATTAATACAATTTTTGTCCTCATTGTTTTTTCCCTTTTTTGTGATAATCCTCATTCAAGGGATTTGATACAGGAACTCTGGAAACTCCAAGTCCTAATTTAGTATTTGTATTTTTGTGTGTAATACAGCTGCACAGTGCGCACCAAAACTAGCAACACCAGTGAAATATTTTCCCAGAATTTGAAAATACCTGCTGCCCTTTACAGTATATTAAAATTTCATGACAATTGGAGCAACAGAAATGATCCAAAATAACCTGGAAAAGATCTTGTTCTATTAATCTCTACTCAAACATTTTTCCCCTCCTGTAAAATGACCATTTTAAAGATACAAGGTTTTGTCACAACAGTGATGATATGCTAGACTGACTTTAAAATTCTACTGTAAACACTTCATTTATAGTATGCGCATAGTGGGACTCTCTCTGGATTGATGACTTTTGAAGTATGGAACTAATTTGGTCATCTTTTGGGTTATAAAGTCCAGACTGATACGCTTTAACTTTCCATTGTAGCAACCAAGACTTAAAATCCTTCAGAACTACTATAGATCTTTTACTATCTTTTTAATATTATAAGACTATTTAACTTATTTCTAGACAATTTTTACTTGTTTCAAGTAATTTGTCTTAGGAAACTGTCTTTTTCCATTGGCAGATCATTTTACTGGTTTCAAGCACGATTTCTTTAAATAAGCAAAATTATCTGCATTATTTCTCAAACTAAGCAAAGCGAACTGCCAATGGAATAAGACACTTTTACTAAATGAAATGACTTAAAACAAGTAAAAAATGTCTAGAATAAGGCTAAATAATCTTATAATTTGCCTATACAATCTCATAATGAGATATATCAGATATATTGTCTGCTTTTAAGATGTTTTCACTTCATTTTCTGCAGTGTATAATCTCCATAAAGCACTGCCAATAGAATGGGACACTCTGGAGAAGTTGTACATGAGCCTAAGGTCACCATGCCCAATGCCAAGCGTGGGCTAGAGGGGTATAAAGTCCCCCAGTGTTGGGCTGTGGAGCAGAGGAACTGTGTTCCTCTGGAGTGATGGAGCTCCATCCAGAACCTTTGGGATGAGCTGGAGTGATCCAGAACTGACCATCCAACATCAGTACCTGACCTCACTAACACTCAATCAAATCCTCACAGCAATGTTCCAACATCTAGTGTAAAGCCTTCCCAGAACAGTAGAAACTGTTATTGCAGCAAAAGTGGACAAACTCTATATTAATCCCAGTGACTTCAGAAGGAACTCTGGATGAGCAGGTGTCTATAAACTTTTGGACATACAGAGTATTTCCCAGCAAAAAGTCTGATTCACGTTTTGCACATGTGGTCAGTCAGCTAAGACAGGGGTGTCCAGTCTTATCCACAAGGGGCTGGTGTGGCTGCAGGTTTTCATTCCAAAAATGCTGGTGCTCATCTGATTATACTGGTTAAATCAGTTGGTTTCAGTCTTCAAACAACTGACCAGGTGAGCTCCTGCTTTGCTGCAATGAAAACCTGCAACCACACTGTCCCTTAGTGGACATCCCTGAGCTAAGACATGCTTGGTGTCCAAATGCTGCTTCTTTACTTTAGCGCTGGAGCTATAAGGCTAAGGTTGTTGCTAACAAACACTAGAAGTCAATAGTCACCCAAAATCTTTTCTGTAATGCTGACTCTCAACCTGCTGAAACCACGTCCAGCTCGTCATTAAGGTCACTCAGACTTGCTGATTGTGTTTTAGGAGACAGTACGACTTACTGTGAGCTATAAAACGAACAAAACCTCACTGGGGTACGGAGCCCTGCTGGTGATGCCCCGTATAAATAAAAATAATGCATGGCCATGACTTAGTAAGGCATGGGAACAAGAAAATTAAGTCATGGCCACAACTTAGTAAGGCATGGGAACAAAATCCTAATGTGTGGCCACAACTTAGTAAGGTGTGGGAATGAGATTATTAAGCTTGGCCACAGCTTAATAAGGCATGATCTCGTTCCCACATCTTGCTAAGTCATGGCCACGCATTAGGATCTTGTTCCCATGCCTTACTAAGTCATGACCACGATTCAGTTATCTCATTCCCACGCCTTACTAAGTCATGGACATGCATTAGGATCCCGTTCCCATGCCTTACTAAGTCATGGCCATTACTCAATTATCTCATTCCCACACCTTACTAAGTCATGGCCACGCATTAGGATCCCGTTCCCATGCCTTACCAAGTCATGGCCATGACTCAATTATCCCGTTCCCACACCTTGCTAAGTCATGGCCACACATTAGGATCTCATTCCCATGCCTGACTAAGTCATGAGCACGACTCAATTATCTTGTTCCCACACCTTACTAAGTCATGGCCACGCATTAGGATCTCGTTCCCATGCCTGACTAAGTCATGAGCACGACTCAATTATCTCGTTCCCACGCCTTACTAAGTCATGGCCACGCATTAGAATCTCGTTCCCATGCGTTACTAAGTCATGGCCACGATTCAGTTATCTCATTCCCACTCCTTACTAAGTTGTGGCCTCGCATTAGGATCTCATTCCCCACACATTAATAAGCTGTGGCCACATATTATTTTTATTTATACAGGATGTCACCAGCAGTGCTTCGTACTGTGGAGCTGAACGACACAAGCAGCCACTTTAGCCAACTGCTGTTTGTTTACAACCAAGAGAAGCTTTTAGGCTGCATTTGCGGGAAATAGTTTGGGTGACTATTGATTTCTAGTGTTTATTAGCCGCATTAGCCTCGTAGCTCCAGCACTAAAACTAAAGAAGGAAAACTTGGACACCAAACATGTCTTGACCGAATGACCACATTTGGGAAAAGTAGATTGTTGTGTAAATTTGTTTCCTCGTCAAACCTTTCCTTTCACATCCATGTTGCAAATCACAGTGTAATATTGTTGTAAATATTGTTTACATGCTTGATGATGACGTCCTGATACCTGACATTTGTGTAATGGGAATTTTTCCTGGAATTGGGCACCTCTTGTTCCATTCTACCTGAAAACACCACCATGTAACCCACTGGTAGCAGTGCTTTAAAGGAACTCTCCAGCATTTTTAAACCTAATCTCTATCTGTCGTATCTGTATTGTGCAGTCACAGCGAATTTGATGCATTTTCCTGTGCTTAGAAAAGAACAGACAACCAACTGACTCAAAGCTCACTTATATAATGGAACCCAATGGGCAGTTACTGAATACTGTCCTTAAAGGTTTATGTAAAATATCGCTGCTGTCGGAACAGAACCTCAAATCTGTATTTTTGTCATTTTTCAGTTTTTGACATGATTTGAAAATGCATGTTGTTCTTTACATTGTATGTAAATTTCATGATGAATAGACCAAAATAAATGACCCAAAATTACTTGGAAAAAAAGTCTGGTTCCATTGACTTACATTAAAAGTCAAGTAGGTTTTTTCCTTCTCCTGTAAAGTTACCATTTTGGAGATTGAGAGTTTTGTTCTGACAACAGTGATATATATTTTTGTAGAACATTCATGAATTATTCAGTCAGATGTTTTTAAAGTGAGCTTTAATTTGTATAATTGTTCTTTCAGAGATGGACTAGTTGTCCAGAGTGAAGAAATTGCGATAATTTGTTACCAGAACTGTGTTTTCCCAGTATCTGAACATTGCATAAGCCATCATAAGAACAGCTTTGATGAGACATTCTCTCAGTCTGTCTCATGTTAATACCTGCATTTTCAGAGCTGTTTTCAATTCATGTTATTTCAAATGTTTTATTCGCAGAATTGAGCAACTGCCCATTGACTTCTATTATTAAATATTAAGCCAATGTGTTTTCTGTTCTATTCTAAGTACAGAAAATCAGACTGAAGTCACTGTCTGTGGAAATCGACCGTATGAGCAGATAGAGATTAGTTTGAAAAATGCTGCAGTGCTTCTTTATCACTGTTATCTGAGTGTTTTTGTTGCTGTAGTCTACAGACCAGCTTTGCTCCATCACTGCATGAGACACTATATTACCATAAACGAATACTGCGCACATCAGGTTGGCGTTTAAATAATCACAACAGATCATTCGTGACACTTTACACTGGTCCATTTTCCTCCATCAAACATTTCTACCTCTGATTGAAAATCTCGCCACTGGAGATCTCCGGTTGCCTTTGCCGCCGCAGTTCCCGTGAACGACCTGCGGTGATGTCACTGCTCCAGAAGCGTTAGGATAAGGCAGCAGCAGTCAGCAGCAGAAAGAGGCAGAGAGTTAGAAAGTGGGGCGGAGTCAGAGTCAGAAAGGCCAAAGTCCTGCCTGGTGTGGGGTTTACAGTGCATAGCACCTTCAGTCTTTTGTCTGACGGAAGCAGAAATCTCCTGTTTCTCACAGTTTTAGTGCATTTGAGTCTTGGTACAGTACAGTCTGGAGAGGCCGTAGTCCGTAACAGCCACGAGATAAGTTAAAGCATGCTAAGTATCAACGATGAGTAAAGCTATTCCATCAGTGGTGAGTTTTTAGTCTTTTTTTTGGGGTCAGGCGGCTACACTCTCGACTTTTTGGGGCTCTGCTCGACTCCTCCCAGGATTCTGTGCAGGCCGGGGGACATGAGGAATGGCTTCGCCTGAGTGCCGTCGTTTCTCTCCAGATCCTCACCTGGATCCAGCGTGCAGCGGAGCAGAGACAAGCAGAGTGAAGTTAGTGAAATGACAAGTGAATGTGAAAGTCAATGCAAAAGCTTTGGCGAGGTTGGATTAATGTCAGTCACAGATCAGATATGTCAGTATTAAGCTGTGGAAAGAAGTGCAAGATGCTTTGGGCTGCTAGGGAACAACAGTCTGATGCAAAATCCAGCACTCTATGTAGAGTACAGTACAAAAGTCAAAAGAACAGCCTCTCATTTAATTTAATTTCCAGTCAAAACAGCCATTAAAGCTGCACTATGTAAAATTTGGGGATTTGGAGACCTCTCTGGTGGAAATGTGTAATTGCACACAATATGCAGCAGAACATTTTATAGCGTGGGTTGTGCTTCGGTCCCCTTCCCCGAGCATGAATCTGATGATTGGGAGCGAGTTGAAAGAGAACTCAAACTCAGTCTAAACTTGGTGAGGGACACGTCTTCCGAGGATGTGAGTGAATTATCTACTATTGTCATCACATCTTCATCAGTATGATGTTGATTTTGAGACCATTTGAGACCTAAACATCGAGCTGGACCTTCTTTTTGAGCCTTTGTGTGACGTTAATACATAAAGACGTACGACGTGGTGTGAAAAACTCCTCGCCTCTGACTTTTAAATGATTATTTCAGGCTTTACAGGGCGACTCACAGCAGCGCACACTCACCATATTTTAGCCTGTTCTTATTCTCCTCACTCAGTAATGACATTTCTTTCAGCAAATTTACATAGTGCAGCTTTAAGTACAAATTGTTCAGTTTTCAGAGTTAAAAAAACAGGAAACACATAATTACAGAAAATTACACAAAGCCCAACACTAAGTATGTCAGATCTATCAGTACTTACTTTTGTGCACCTGCTGCCACTTTAATTCCTCCATCTATCCAATCTTAAAACTGAGTTACTGTGTCCAGTGAGGGATCTGCTGTATTATATGTTTTATGTGTAATTTTATGTTCAGTATTATGTGTTATGATATATATGTGATCTGTGTATGTTTTATGTGAGCTGTACCTGGGAGGACATTGTGAACAGTTATCCCTGGCTGTCCATCTCTGTATGTTAAGAACAGCAGTTGCTTCCGTACCTAATTTGGCAAAGGTCCAGGCAACAATGTGCCTAAGCCAGCCTATATAAACATGGCCATTTTCTATGTCGAGCAGGTCAGCTTGCCATCTCTGAATCGTGCGCACCACGAAGAAATAAAGATCAGTGCTACAGAGGCAAGGCTGGCCTCCTGGTCCTGCTTCTAAAGAAAGAAGGGTTTGAAAATTCTACACCTCTCAACAAAAGACTCCCCTGACATCGTGCTCCCCTTCAAAGAGACGCTAACATTCACTAACAAAGCACCTACCCAAACTCACCTCAGCTGCCTCACACGTTTCTCTCTCATGTTCATCTGAAATGGCTAAAGGGGATATTTCAGAGGAGATTACTGAGTTCGAAAACTGATTAAAAACTAAAGAAACAGAGAAAATGGGGCTCCTGACAACCACCTGGAAGACCTGGTAGACACCTAAACTGCCCCCATCAGATAAACAGCACTTAAAGCTTTCATCTCTGAGAGAGAGGAGAAAATCAAGCTGCTTCAGATCTGAAACATCCACAGGTGTTTCTGTCCATCCTTCCACTGTGAGAAGACAACTCAGCGCTGTGGGTCTGAAAGGATGTGTAGCTGTTCAAGAAGAACCTCACTGAGAAAAGGAGACGGACACATCAAACAAAGAAGCTGAACAATGGACTGACCACCCCAGAGTCCAGACCTCAACACCACTGAATGTGTTTGATTACTTCAAAACCAACTTCTAAGACTGAACTTTGGAGGTGTGTCTGCAGATTTCTTTGAAAACGACTCTACTAAAAAGAATGGAAGCTGTATTAAAGGTAGAGTGACTCACTAAACACTGAAGAAATGATAGTTAGTTGTTAAAGCTTCTGTGTAAGTTTCTGTTAAGTGTGTTTTCCGACTCAGAAATGTTTTGACTGGAAAGGAAATAAATGAAGGGTGATCTATGACTTTTCTTGTCAGTTTATTATGTTCACCTACTTTGTACCTACTCTTGTTGGCCATTTTATCAGAAACACCTACCGTATAGGTGCACTTTGTAGGTTTGTAGCCCGTCTGCTGCTGCAGCATCCATCAGCACCTCTCTAACCTGTCCATCAGTGGGATGAGACCACCATAGGACCACTGCTGACATTATTTGGGTGGTGGACCGGCAAGGTGGAGCTACAAGGTTGGGGTTTCTAATAAAGTGGCCAGGGAATGTACGTTGTATCTCTTTCGTTTTGTGCTTGGAGTGCTTACAGAAGAATACTACTCAGTCTGAGTCAAATCATTAACGTACAGCGACAGTGAGAACGTACTTACAGAAGCAAAGGAACAGGGTGTCCACACACATTGCATAGACGCTGAAGAAGCCGTGTGCAATCAAGTAGGACCCGAATACAACTGTCTGTCAAAGAGAGAAGCAGCACGGTCAACCGAAAGTGACGGAACCAAGTGGGAATAAGAAAGAAAACCATGAAAACGGTTTCCTTACCAACAGAGGCACCCAGTAATTATTCAAGACCGGAACTTCCTCCTGAATGATGGGTATCTTGTGTGTGAAGAAAAAGAAGGCAACGACACCTGCAAAACACCGTTGATTTACTGCTCAACTACAGAAGACACAGCATTGTGTCGCTTTACTGGCACCCTTGTGGTGGATGTGGGTAGTGCAGTGTGAAGTAAAGCAGTAGCAGCTCAAATACAAGTGCAATGAAGCAATAATGAAATCTTAGCAGTGAAATTTCAAACATGCAGTTGTATGTAAAAGTTTGGGTACCCGGTCATATGACGATTTTTGTTGATTAAATAAGTTAACACATCCTCCCTCTACAGAGAATATACATCTGCACATATTAATACACAACTACTGTTTATTTGCTGAATTTAATACATTGGGGATAAAAAAAACAAACATATAATATGGCTACAAAAGTTTTTTATGTTGAACCCAACAAACAAGTAGAAATTGTGCACTAAAATTGCCAAAAAATGCCATTCAGTGTGCTCTCTGTAGAATTTCTGAAAATTGGTGGAGTTCCCCTTTAACATATTTTTACTCAGAAAGACAACAAAAATGTCATGTGATTAGGGGTGTGCAAACATTTGCATATGAATATGTGTATGTATAAATAATAATGAATTATCATTAATAATGACTTGTAAATTTTAAATTTTAATAAATTAGAATTTTAACAAAGTTTGGAGAAAATTTAGACAGTATTTCAACAGAATCAGTCAAAATCCTTAACATCCTGGGACAATAAGTAATTATTCTGTGATTTGAAAAACATAAGTCCTTCTCAAGTGACGCTTTTGTTTTAAGGATAGTTTATAAAATGATGCAAAAATATTTGAATAAAACAGTTGAGGAACAAAAGCGTAAGTTTGCTCTGCTTCTAATGAATTGGGATGCACACGTTCCACTTGCTCCATTGTTCAGGTGACACTACCGTTTAGAAGGTTTAAGGCACACAGCCATGACCCTACAAACGCCAGAAGAGCAGTGAAATCAATAAAAAGACTCACCCACACTTCCCGCGACCAAGAGCTTCCCTAAGAACAGCAGAAAGTCTGTGACTTTGTCCAACACTGCCACCCTGTGGTGAAAGAGAGGAACTGAGAATGAGGCTGTGGCCGAACAACAGACATTCACTAGCAGAATTCTAGCCCATCCTCACCTCACTACGTTCCTCATCAGCAAAAAGAACGCTTCCCGCGCTGACGTGCAGAAATTCTTCCCATAGATTGCGATCTAGACACAAACAAGAGTGCATTGCTGTTTGTTTGATGAGCACTTGTTATGTCATCATGTGATTAGACAATAATCTCCCCCTTTACCCCATATGTAGTCGATCAGTCGAGACCTGTTTGGTGTCTTAAGTTTGCCTCTTTAGTTTTGCTCTGAAGTTACCAGGCTAAAGTAGCTAACAAGTGATGGAAGCTTCTGCAGACCAAACTTTAAAGGCTTTTATTGCACCTCATTCAGAAAACAGTCCAGGATGAAACACTCCCTATAACGTCAGTGTGAGTGGGCGGAGCTAAACTGCTGTAGGCTGAAATGTAAATGCATTGGTTTTTCTGACATCACAAAAACAGTGAAATCAAAATAGTCTGTTTTTTGCAGCTGAGTTTCCATATGTGGACTGCAGTGACCGAGTGAACAGAACATTTTGAAACTTTAACAATCTTGACAAACTACACTCTTATAAATGATGGTTCTTCAAGGGTTCTTTAGTAAAGAAAATGGTTCTGTGTAGAACCATGGACACTCAAAGAGTTCTTTGCATTGTGAAAGAGTTTGATGGACTGTGTTGATGTACATGTATATTTTTTTGTATATATATTTTGTATGTATAATTTGAAAAGGGTTCTTCTATTGTTACAATGTCAAACTTGTAATAATCCTTTTTGGCGCTATATACAACCCCATTTCCAAAAAAGTTTGGATGCTGTGCAAAATGTAAATAAAAACAAAATGCAATGATGTGCAAATTATTTAAATCCTATATTTCATTGAAAATTATACAAAGACAACAAATCACATGTTGAAACTGAGACATTTTATTGTTTTTTGAAAAACATATGCCCATTTTGAATTTGACGCCAACAACATGTTCCAAAAAAGTTGGGACGGGGGCAACAAAAGACTAACTCTGTAAGGGAAATCACTGCATGGGCTCAGAAACACTTCTGAAAACCACTGTCTGTGAAAACAGTTCGTCACTGCATCCACAAATGCAAGTTAAAATTCTAAATGCAAAGAAGAAACCAAATATAAACAGGATCCAGAAATGCTGCCACCTTCTCTGGGCCTGAGCTCATTTAAAATGGACTGAGGGGAAGTGGAAAAGTGTCCTGTGGTCCAATGAATCAACATTTGAAATTCTTTATGGAAATCATGGACACTGTGTCCTCTGGGCTAAAGACCACTCAGCTTATCAGTGCACAGTTCAAAAGCCAGTATTCATGATGGTATAGGGGGGCATTAATGCACATGGCATGGGTGACATGCACATCTGTGAAAGCACCATTAATGCTGAACGATATGTTTTGGTAACATATGCTGCCGTCCAGACAACGTCTTTTTCAGGGAAGGCCTTGATTATTTCAGCAAGACACTGTCAAACCACATTCTGCACATATTACAACAGCATTGCTCCGTATCAAAAGAGTCCAGGTGCTAAACTGACCTGCCTGCAGTCCAGACCTGTCACCACTGAAAAAATTGGCTCATTATGAAATAAAAAATATGACAAAGGAGACCCCGAACTGTTGAGCAGCAGAAATCCTGTATCGAACAAGAACGGGAAAACATTTTACTTTCAAGACTACAGCAGTGTCTCCTCAGTCCCCAAACGCTTACAGAGTGTTGATAAAAGAAGAGGTGATGAAACACAGTGGTAAACAGGCCCCCGTCCCAACTTTTTTGGAACATGTTCAAAATGGGCACATATTTTTCAAAAAATAATACAAATTTCTCAATTTCAACATTTGTCTTTGGAGTCTTTTCCTTTAAAAATATGGTTTACATGATTTGCATATTGTTGCATTCTGTTTTTATTTACATTCTCAAACAGCGTCCCAACCTTTTTGGAAACAGCGTTGTAGAACCCTTTTCTTTACTAAAGAACCCTTGAAGAACCATCATTTTTAAGCGTGTACATCAACCTCATAAAAGGGAGCACAATTCAGTTTTCTATGATACGGGCCCTTTAAGGTGCTCCTACTGTTTTAAGCTCTGTGACGTCGTTTAGTCCATGTTTATAGATCACAGAGGGTCATACAGAGTCAGAAACCAAGCAAGTCTATTAGAGATACTGAAGACAGAAGTTCGAGGGAAGCGTGTGATGATTTAGACTTGCACAGTGCTAATTGGTGGGGTATAGGCTTCTATTACTTGTTAGCTACACACTTAAAAAGAGATGGTTCTTTGAGGGTTCTTTAGTAAAGAAAATGTTTCTATATAAATCATAAACATGGCTGTTCTTTGCATGTTTTATATGGTTCTATATAGAGTCTTTTGAAAAATGTTATACATAGCACCACTTTTTGGTGCCTTATAGAACCCTTTTCAAAAAGGTTCTATATAGAGCCATTTACAATACATTCTCCATCAATATGAAAAATAATGTAATCAGATTAAAGGATTCTTTGCATGTTTTATAAGGTTCTATATAGAGCCTTTTTGAAAAGTGTTCTATGTAGCACCAAAAAGTGTTCTTCTATTGTTACAGGCTTGACATCATAACAATAGAAGAACGCTTTTGGGTGCTATATAGAACCCTTTTCAAAAAGGTTCTATCTACAGTACATTCTCCATCAATCTGAAGAACCATTTCACCATGCAAAAAAAACGCTTTAATCATGTAAAGGGTTCTTTGAGAATTAATGGTTTTATATAAAGCTATTTTCTTTACTAAGAACCCTTGAAGAACCATCTTTTTAAGAGTGTACATTAGCCTTGTAGCTTCAGTGTAGTGGTTCTTTGCATGTTTTATATGGTTCTATATAGAGCCTTTTTGAAAAGAGTACTATATAGCACCAAAAAGTGTTCTTCTATTGTTACAGCCTTGAAGTCGTAACAATAGAACACCCTTGTGGGTGCTGTATAGAACCCTTTTCAAAAAGATTCTATGTGGAACTACCTACAATTTCCATCAATCAAAAGAACAATTTCACCATGCAAAGAACCAATTTATCATGCAAAGCGTTCTTTGAGTGTTCATGGTTCTTTATAGAAACATTTTCTTTACTAAAGAACCCTTGAAGAACCATCATTTTAAGAGTGTACATTAGCCTCGTAGCTCAAGTGTAAAACTAAGGAAGCAAACTTTACACAACAAACGTGTCTCGACTGACTGACTACACTGTGATTCTTCAAGGGTTCTTTAGTAAAGAAAATGGTTCTATATAGAACCATGGACACTCAAAGAACCCTCTGCATGATTAAAGGGTTCTTTGCATGTTTTATATGGTTATATAAAGAGTCCAATTTTTGGTGCTATATAGAACCCTTTTCAAAAAGGTTCTGTATAGAGCCATTTACAGTACATTCTCCATCAATATGAAGAACGATGTCACCAGGCAAAGAACCCTTTAATCATGCAAATGCTTCTTGTTCATGGTTCTATATATATCCATTTTCTTCGTACTAAAGAACCCTTGAAGAACCATCATTTTAAGAGTGTACATTAGCCTCGTAGCTTCAGTGTAAAACTAAAGAAGCAAACTTTACACACCAAACGTGTCGCGGCTAATCGACTATATTTGCGGCGAAACTATCGCTTTAATGCAGGATTATCGGCTGGTTCTCACCATGATGTAGGCGTTTCTGTTCATGAAGCGAATGAAGCGCTCCAGGCACCAGAAGCAGCACTTCAGACAGCAGAGCAGGAACCGGGCAATAACGTTGTGAGCTCCTGGACACAAACACACAGAACGACACCACAGCTGACACTGATATCATAACAAGCAACAGACAGAGGACTTCTGTGGCCAGCTGTGACCACTGGTGATCACATTTTCTCCAGTGATTAAAACAATAACCTGCCATAAAGCCACGTTTAGATCTTCAGTGTTCTCTAAAAACCTCATACCTTTGAGTTTGTGGTCCAGGTATTCAAGGACGATCCGGATGAGCTGGACAAACGCTAAGATCAGTGACCCAAAGGCAAGAGACCCTGTGTGATACCTGCGGGCAGGACACAGAGCACTTTACAATAAGACTACCCTTATGAAGGGATTATTAATGGCTTATAATTAGTTTATGAACAGCTTTTAATGAGATTGTAAAAAATCATTGATAAGCAGTTATAAATAAAAAGCTGAATGTGGGCTCACTATTTGGCAAGCAAGCAGGTCACTGATGCCCTTTTTATTTATGTGTGATGACTGCTTATTAAAGATTTGTGAAAGTGGTTATGACTTAATCAATAACAATTAGTAAATTGATTTTAAACCTTTTTTAGGGTTTTGTGAAATGCTTTAAAATTAGTTTATAAATGATTATTAATTAAGTTCTAATCACTTTCACAAATCTTTAATAAGCAGTTATAATATATAAATTAATTGATGAATGTGGGCTCACTATTTGCCACGAAACAGGTCACTGTTGCCCTTTTTATTTACATGTTATAACTGCTTTTTAAAGATTTGTGAAAGTGGTTATAGCCCTATTAATAACTGTTAATAAACTAATCTTAAACATTCACAAACCTTAAAAAATGACACCAAAATCTGCTAATCAACAACACACCTTCTGCGTTATCAGTATTTTAGCACAATTTGTGTCATTTTATGCTACAGCAATTTTCTTGTATGATACAATTGTAAGCAAAAGTTTGAGCACCCCGGCCAGACATTTTTTTTTGATGTGAAAAGAAGTAGATGCAACGTCTGTAGCAAACTGTTTTAATTTTTTTTCTGCAAATGTTCATAAACAGTTACTTTACCTTTTATTATCTTACACTGTCTGCCGATGTATCATCCCACAACATACAGTGTCTACCTAAAATGCAGCCAATACAAAGTGATGCATGCAAATCCTGCTATGTTAACAGCTGACAGGACAGCACACAGACAGTCTACTTTCACTTTGCTGTGTGGCTGCCTGCCACTATAAAAGTACATAAAATGTGGGGTTTAGCCGCTGCTGATTGGCTAGTGGTGCATTGCCACACTAAATGACCCCCTGATGCTGGGCCTGGTCAGAAAATGTTTCGGCAGATCAAGATTTTGTAACAAATTCTCTGGCTCTTCAAACCTTGTGCAAACAACCTTGAACTCCTCTAAAATGATGTTGACTCATGCTTACACAGCAGGGAAGGCTCAAAAAAGATATGAAAAACACATTTAGCTCACAATGTCCACTATCTGAAATGTCTTCTTTAAGAAATGGCAGTTAAGGGGAACTATGGAAGCTGAGGTGAGATCTAGAAGACCAATAACTCTCAGATCTGCTGCTTGTATGCTGGTCAGAAATGCAAAGCAAAACCCCCATATGACAGTGAAGGACCTGCAGGCTGACACAGGAGTGGTGGTGCACCGTTCTACTGTGCAGCACTGTGTGCACAAACATGATCTGCATAGAAAGATCATCAGAAGGAAACCTTACCTTCAACCTCATCACAACAGTCAACGTCTGAAAGTATGCAAAATAGCATCAAGATAAGCCAGAGGCATTTTGAGAACAAGTACTGTGGACTGACTGCTTTGCCCTATAGGTCAAAATGATTTTTTGTGTAGTGTCTTCTTCAGTACTGATTGCAGAACAGTGGGGAGATGCACAACGCCACCACCAGGGGGAGCCGCTTATAAAAGGGAGATGTACAGGAGAAAAAGCGGTGCTTTACTTCTGGTGAGGCTTCCGTTGCATCCCCGGTTCCCTGACCAGTCATTTGAAAGAGCTTCTTCTATAGAACTGTGTCCATGTTGTAGCACTTTCACTGAAGTATATTGTAAACACTGAGCTCAGTGAAAGTATACTGTAAACACTGAGCTAATGTGGCCACTCAGAGACAAAGCTCTTGTATATAATCTCTCTTACTGGGGAGAAAGGGTGAGTTTTGTTGCCTGGTTTGCTGTAGTTAGGATGTTAGGTTAGAAATCGTATTTGCTTTTCTTTTGTTTGTTTGTTAGGTAAGTTAAATTTCCCAAAATCTAAGTCAGCTTTGTTTTGTTCGTTATTTTTCTCTTACCTGTTCCATTTATTCTCATTCTTGAAAGAGAAAACTCAGCCTAAAGCCTTGAACTCTCGAGGAAAATAAAACCAATTTGTTATTATTGCAAAACTGGTCATATGTGTGAGCTGGGGAACCGGGAGGGCACGGAGGTCTCGCTTTATTTATTTATTTTTTTTTATTTTAACCCAAGTATCTCCCCAATCTAGTTGTCGGCAATTCCACCTGCTAGTTAGGACTCCCCCAATCACACGATACTATCAACGCTAGGAGGGTGAAGGCAGTACAGGCTTCCTTCGAGACCTGTGAAGCGCCATCGCTTCTTTTCGAACTGCTGCTCACACATCGCCACTGGGACAGCCGAACGCGCTCGGAGGAAAGCGTCAACCGCCAGATCTGTTACGTCAGCTAACAGACGCCTGCGCTGACTAGCATCGCGTTAAGTGATGGGGGGAGAAGGAGGGGCCATCCTACCACCCAGAGAGAGCAAGGCCAATTGTGCTCTCTTGGACTACCGGCTACGGATGGCTGTAGCATCACCAGGGATTGAACTCACGATCTCCTGATGACAGGGCCAACGCTTAGACGGTTGCACCACTCAGGAGCCTCTCTCTTTTTTTTTTACGTTGAGACCGGGTCGTGACACTGATGAAGAAAAAATGGAACTCTTTGGCTGTGGTCACCTGTAAAATGGGACTCTTCGGCTGCAGCACTTGATGAAAAGAACACCTTGGCAACTGTCAAGCATGAGGGTGGATCTGTTATGCTTTGTGGCTGTGTGGCAGCCAGTGGAAAGACTGCATGGGTAGACAGAGGAATGGATTCTATTAAATATCAGCAAATTCTGGAAGCAAATGTGGCACAGTTAGTCAAGAAACTGAAGCTGAAAAAGGCTTCTAAAACAGGACAATGATCCTAAACATGCCTCAAAATCCACCATGAACTACTTCAAGAAATGCATGCTGAAGCTTTTGGAATGGCCCTCACAGTCCCCTGATTTAAATTGAAAATCTGTGGGTAGATCTTAAACTTGCAAGACATCCCAAGAATATCACAAAAATAGAAGCGTTCTGCAAGGAAAACTGGGTGAAAATTAAACAAGAACTGAAGAACTATCTGGCTACAAAGCTGTGATGGTAATACTGATTTAGTAGGGTGTCCAATTTTTCGCACATTTACTATTTTTGAAGCAAATCAAGTTGCGCATTAACATTTGCAGAAAAAACACTGATTTTAAAAATAGTTTGCTGTAGAGGCTGTGTTTACTTATTTTCATTTTAAAAATCAACAAACTATGCCATTTTGTATGGGGTGCTCAAACTTCTGCATATATGATACAACTGTATACAACATAGTTGTGAGGGATTGAAAATGGGCTGTTTTTGCAGCCTGGTTTCCATGTAGAGACTGTATGGAATGACAAGTGAATGGTATGTTTCAAAACAATATTTGGTGACACTTTATTTTGAGGGATCTTTTTAAATGAAACAAACACTCAACAGACTCTCAGTAACATGTCAAAAACATAGGAGGGTTAGGATTAGGTTTTGGGTTGAGGTTAATGTTAGGTTTAGGATTAGGGCCAGGGTGAGGGTTAGGATTAGGTTTTGGGTTAAGGTTAAGGTTAGGTTTAGGATTAGGGCCAGGGTGAGGGTTAGGATTAGGTTTTGGGTTAAGGTTAAGGTTAGGTTTAGGATTAGGGCCAGGGTGAGGGTTAGGATTAGGTTTTGGGTTGAGGTTAAGGTTAGGATTAGGGCCAGGGTGAGGGTTATTTGTTGGGTAAGGTTGGTAAGGTTAGGTTTTGCGTAATGGAAGTAACATATTAACAATACATCTACTTAATGTAAGTAATTTATCAACAGAACATCTACAAAATATTTGCTTCACTCCTGCTACCTCACTGATATGTTGTTGATGTGTTACTGATAATCTACAAAGGACCACTCTAAATAAAGCGTTACCAATATTTACATAGCGCATTAGACTCTTGTTTCAAAAACGAAAATTCTGATTTCTGTGATATGGGCACTTTAAAAAGCTCCAAACCGTATGGTGCGGGTGAAAGAAGAGAAGACGGGACAGGGCGGGATGTCCGCTGGTTTCCTCTTGGCCCAGTAATAGGAGGCGAAAGCTCCAGCGATGGTACACTGTTCCAGAGCGATGGTGAAGTTCACCAGCCAGAGGAAGACCAGCAGGTTACTGAGCTGCAGGATGAAGATGTAGCGATGATACACGCTCTCACCGCCGTAAAACGCAAACAGACACTGAGCCCCAGGACACTGCTTAGTGATGTTGGTGCTGTTGAAGGTCTGACAGTGACAAGAGAACACATACAACACACAGCATAAACATGGATTTAATTATTATTCATAATACATTAGTTATAAAAAGTTTTGTCACACAATTTCAAATAATACAGGCACAGAATATTAAACATTATACAAAACATTACATTAAACAATATAAAATTATTGTTTAAAATGACTTTTTTCCTCTTTTTATTTATGCTTCTTCAGGGATGAATAAAGTTTATCCAACTCAATTCAGTTTAAGCCTTATATTTCATTTTTTGTATGATTTGACTGACACTTGTTAATTTTAATAGTTAAAGGATTAAGTTGCATAAATATCTTATTTTAAATAAAAACAATAATTATACACATAGGAAATGGGAAGCAAGACATGTGCAATGCTTAACTCCACCTAAGCTTTATAATTATTATTGCCTGAAGGGGAATTCCATCAACTTTTCAAAATTTTCTGCATAATTCAGTGGTTAAGATGTAAACAGTCATTCAGAGTGGTTTGGTGTGAAATGGTTGATTGTAGAGACTCAGATTTCTTTACAGTGGTGGTGATAGGAACCCGGGTTGCCATGACAACAACACAAATATAGCCATTTTATTTACTGTTCAAAACCACCAGTGAACCTAGACGAGTCTTCTGAGCTTTTATAAGTAATGTTGATGATGGTAAAATAGCAGACAATCTAAAAAATAACTTTTCTTTGGGGACTATTTTGCTTGACAACACCCTCCAAGTACCCCGAAAGATGTTTTAGGCCAAAATCTTCTCAAAACTATCATAATACAATGTCTCAGGCGTCAGAAAGCGTATTGAAAACAATTTTATATAATAACTTTCTGTGAGGGAGCTTTTAGAGGTGGATGTCTGGTTCCTATCACCACCACTGTGAATAATTCTGACTCGGTACGTTTTTCTAGAACAGAGCATTTCACACCGAACCACTCTGAATGACTTTCTTTACATCTCAATGATTTTATTACGCAGAATTATTTGAAAGATTGGTGCAATTCCCCTTTAAAATAAGCTGATAATGCAAATTGCTTTCATTACTAAAGGACACCTACACCCTTTGTAATGAGTGAATTCAGCTCATTATTCACTCATTGCTGACACAGGTGTTCAGCTGTGCTCACAGCTTGTATAACCTTTGTAGAGAAGCAGCCGCACATGAGCCTAAGGTCATCATGCCCAAAGCCAAGCGTGGGCTAGAGGGGTATAAAGCCCCCAGCATTGGGCTGTGGAGCAGTGGAACTGTGTTCTCTGGAGTGACGGAGCTCCATCCAATACCTCTGGGTTGAGTTGGAGATCCAGAACTGATCATCCAACATCAGTACCTGACCTCACTAATGCTCAATCAAATCCTCACAGCAATGTTCCAACATCTAGTGTAAAGCCTTCCCAAAAGAGTAGAAGCTGTTACTGCAGCAAAGGAGGACAAGCTCCATATTAATACCCTTCATTTCAGAAGAAACGCTGGAGAGCACACAGTGGAAACCAGCCAAACCACACAAAAGACAAAGTTTAATTTAAACATCCATCATATTTTTAACAATCTGTGCAGGTATTAGTTGAAAGTACACTGTGGGTCAAAGAAGACACTCTATTAGTGGAACATCCCATGATTTAAAGTCTCAGTATGTGCTGCAGAGGAGAGCGAGGAGGTGACTCACTTCTGGACTGCAGGTGAGGTTGGTGTATTTGCAGTTGGGCTGCGCTGACATCACTTTGTAGACGGCTTCACCGGAAGATGCCAGAAAGCTGCATTCAGTTTAATTAAGGCACAAAGCTACTTCTGCTGAATAAGAGTTTCATTTTCAAGCAGCTGTTTTTCAGGATCTTTTAAAAGCTCTTAAATGACAGACGTGCT